ACTCTGCCCTTGCCCTTGTTGAACTTCATAAAATAGAACAGCCTGTCCAAGTCTTGCTGAATGGCAACACAACCTTCTGGGGTATTGTTCCAGTTCTGTGTCGTCAGCAAACTTGCTGACAGTGCTCTCTAATCCCTCGTCCAGTTGGCTGATGAAGATACTGAGTAGTACTGGTCCCAGTACTGACCCTTGAGGGACCCCACTAGTCACAGGCCTCCAGCTGGACTCTGCCCCATTGACCACAACTCTCTGACTTCTTCAACCAGTTCCCAACCCATCTCACTATCTGACCATCCAGCCCACACTGCCTCCGTTTAGCTGAGAGGATGCTGTGGGAGACGGTGGCAAAAGCTTTCCTGAAATCCAGACAAACCACATCCACTGCAGTGCCTCAGCCCCTCTTCCCGTGCAGTTTTTAACCCCTCTCTGTGCTTCCTTTAGGGAATCTTGTCTGATGATCACGTTCTGGCAGCAGCTCTTTGGAGAAACCTTTTTAACAGGAACTGTGAGGACCCTCGGCATCTGGAGCTACTCGTAGAGTACGTGCGCAAACAGGTATGTTAAAGCTCATAGTGCCGCTTCTCTTCATCCTCCTCTTTAGAATGTTAAATGTTTCTTTTCCTTGCTTGTGTATTATGCAGCTTGGTTCTCAAAAATACAGCTGAGTTTTCTATGCAATGATGATTTTTTAAGGAGAAAAAGGTAAAAATATCAAACCTAGTCTTTGTTGCAGTTTGAAAAATGGCTGCAGAGAAATTCACAGAATATTGAAAGCAATCCTACTCGTCTTTTTCTGGACCTGATCTATGGAGGGGCTTGGCAAAAATATGTCAAAAATGGGCTGCAGCTTGTTGTAGAATTATAAGTGGTGTTGCAGAGTTTGGATCCTTTTCATAAGGAAATAGCACACGGAGCTTTAAAGCCTCCTGATGCCCTTTGTGGGAAAGAAGTAAAAGGTTTTGTGTTCCAGAATTATTTCTGTTTCTTTCAGTTATTACCTGAAGGAAACAATACTAAGTAGTGTTCATCCTCTCAGCCCTTTGGAGGTTTGTGAGCCAGGTTTCTAGGAATTGTTGGTAGGATATAGTCCAGGTGGGTATCAAAGACAGAAAAGGGGTGAGAGAGGTTCTGGAGGAAGAGTGTAGGCTCTTGACTGGGACCTGAAAACGAGAATCAGCACAACAGCATTCTCTGTAATGTTGTCAATAGCATACGCAGGACCAGGTGGAGATTTGAAGAGACTTTTTCATAGAATCCTTGAATGTCTTAGGTTGGAAAAGACCTTAGAGATCATCTAACCCAACCCCTGCCAT